TTAGACCCTCCACTCCTCTATATGTCAGCTCTGAACTGAATTTTCCTTAAGATGTGAGCTTAAGCCTTACTATCCTGACTCAGCGCCACCTTGGAAATTACAGTCTGTGCCTCTGAGCTCTTACTAAATTTGATATTTGAAAAGAGATTTCTCCTGTCCTGCACCATGTGGGTGCTGACGTTGACACCACCTCAGAGGTGGTGGGTTGGCAGAACTCCACTTTTAGGATTGAGTCGGGACCCTTCAGGACAAAAATCTCTAATGATGGGTAATTCAGAGATTTGCTTTCATACAACTTCATATGCTTGCCAGGCTATTCGTCAACTCTTATCACTGAAGAGCTCTGCATCAAGAGGCAAAATGTGGGAGGAAGAAACTTGAAATTAGGTGAAATGAATGCTTACTGTCCATAATGTATTTACTACAGAATCACAGAATCACAGAATCGTTTAGGTTGGAGGGGACCTCTGGAGATCATCTAGTCCAAACTCCCTGCTCAAGCAGGGACCTCTGCAGCATATTGCCCAGGATCACATCCAGACGGGTTTTGAAGATCTCCAGCGAAGGAGACTCCACTACCTCTCTGGGCAACCTGCTCCAATGCTCAGTCTCCCTCCCAGGAAAGAATTTCTTCCTCATGTTCAGGTGGAACTTCCTGTGGTTCAGTTTCTGCCCGTTGCCTCTTGTCCTGTTGCTGGGCACCACGGAGAAGAGACTGGCCTCATCCTCTTGACACCCCCCTGCCTTCAGATACTTCCACACATTGATGAGATCCCCTCTCAGGCTTCTCTTCTCCAGGCTCAACAGGCCCAGCTCTCGCAGTCTTTCTTCAGAGGAGAGAGGCTCCAGTCCCCTCATCATCTTTGGAGCCCTCCGCTGGACTCTCTCCAGGAGTGCCATGTCTCTCTTGTCCTGGGGAGCCCAGAACTGGACACAGCACTCCGGGTGAGGCCTCCCCAGGGCTGAATGGAGGGGCGGGATCACCTCCCTCCACCTGCTGGCAACACTCTGCCTCATGCAGCCCAGGATCCCTTTGGCCTTCTTGGCCACAAGGGCACACTGCTGGCTCATGTTGAACTTGTTGTCCACCAGCACTCCCAGGTCCTTCTTGGCAGAGCTGCTTTCCAGCAGGTCAACCCCCAGCCTGTGCTGGTGCAGGGGGTTATTCCTCCCCAGGGGCAGCACCCTGCACTTGCCTGTGTTGAACTTCAGGAGGTTCCTGTCCGCCCATCTCTCCAGCTTGTCCAGGTCCCTCTGAATGGCAGCACAGTCTTCTGGTGTGTCAGCCAGTCCTCCCAGTTTATATTTACATACATATATATATATGTATATAAAAAATTCAGCATATTGGACAGTGCCTATCATATTATGGGTGCTGTGAGTAGGGGGAGCTAGGTAACAGATGCGAATGAATGATGCTTGTACAAAAAAAGAAATCAAAGGCAGCAGTATTGTAAGCCAGCAGCTAACAAATGAGAAGACATGTTCAGAAATTGAAGTGAAAGCTGATCTGTTAATATGTAGTGGCTGTTCCTGGATATGCTGGACATGAGTGGAAATAAACCAGAAACTCTATTACGAAAGCTGAAATTTCAATTTAATTTAAAATCTCAGGATTACATTTTAGATGCTTTTCTCATGAGTACACGGAGAAAGCTAGGAGTGATGCGAAGAGATCGTCTCCTTTTCCTCTCTTTCATGCAGGACATTCTTTTCTTAAATGAATGTCAGGAACTTCATTACAGCTCACCAAAGTGATCACCAGTAGCTGAGAAACCCACCCCATTGCCCTCTGACACTGAGCTGCATACTCATAAGGCTGCCGAACCATTCTTCCAGATGGTTTTGGAGGCTTCTAGTTTTCCTCCTGAGGGCAGGAAGGAAAACTGTCCCATCCCCTCCTCACGACTGCATCAAAATAATTCTGTGCTGGCACTGTATTGTGAGCTCCTTAGTGCTAGAATTTGTCTTCTGTACGTCAAAACTGGCCAAAATCCAAAAATTAGCTGCTTGTAATAACCAAACCCCAGAGCCAGACCAAAATTCTAGCAGCAGTCTCCCTCTATGGAGACTGCACCAAGGCTTTTTATAAGGTGCGGTAGAGACACCTTTAAATATTTCTAAAAGCTCAAATGATAACTGAAACCGAATTAGAAGCTAAAGAAGTGGTTAGGTAGCTTTCCTCATGACATGGCAGGGACTGCTTTTGATTCAGTACTGCACATCAAAATCCTCACTAAATAGAAAAGTTCTCTATACTTTAATCGCAGATCTTTTGTATTCCTTTGAAAGTGCTGGAGCTGCAGTCCATGTACAAGCCCTTCTATTTTCTGTAATACTGTTTTGGTGAAGCCTGTCATATTTTGCTAGCCATCAGCAGCGATGACCACTCTGTGTTCAGCAATTTTCCCATGTAGTGCTCTCCATGCTATTCTGGATTTCCTCCTTTTATAGCCTTTGTCCCTGTTGAGTCAAAGGCAGTGATTCAGACACAATCTCCCCAAAATACATAAGTTCACTGAGCCTCAGAGAGGACTACAAGCCTATTGACCTTTTGAAGCTTTGAGGCAGTATGACAATACTTCCTCCCCGCAGCAGCCTGCACCAAGGAAGGATGTGGTGGAAAAGGGATTTTGTGTACAGAACAGTTTATAAATACGAGGATTCACGTTTGTTGATAAGCAACAAGTTAGAGTGCCAGTGCTATAGTTAATTGAGTTGCTTAGGATAAAACTTCTATTTCTAACCATTGCTCCTATTACAAAAGCTTTTTTTTTTTCCTCTTAATTTTCACTGAACAAGAGGTCAGCACATCCTGCTGACTCATTGTATCAGCAGGAGGCAATAACCCCTGCAAGCGCTTCTGCCAATTCATTGTAGCCTGGAAGGGGGACAGGGCAAGTCCAGGAAGAAGCTCTAGAGACAGCCAAGTTTAGGGTAGAGAGGTTAATTGAGTGCTTCTATTTTGCTATCATTTTTTCTCTAGTATACACAACGACATAATGGAAAAGGGATGCACTTGAAGCCAACGTGGCAAGAATGCAATAGAGAAGTAGCCTGTTCTCAGAGCTCTCTTGGACTCTATATCTGTGATACCTTGTCAACTGAGCTTCTGCCTTGATACTCGAATCTTAAACTAGAATTAATTCCTCAGATTTGCTGGTATGTTTGGACCTTAAGCCTGGGTCAGGCTGCCCAGGAAGAAACTGAACATTTGGATGGGGGTTCGGGCTCAGCAATTTGCTGCCTTCAGAACTCTGTAGGCTCCTGAGGTGGCATTTCCACTTAGGATGCGATTTGCTTAGCGGAAATAGCCACCTCAAAAATAATGCTGAATTGCTCAACAACTCTTCTGACCTTATACAACCACGTTCATCCTATATTGTGTGATCTACTGACAGAGAAGTTCTGGCTCCAAGAATTCAGCAGTTTTGTAGCAAATGGGAAACCTACCCAGAGCCTGAGAAGCAAAAGTCATACTGCATAGAGACATGTGTGTGTATGTGTACATATATATACATATATATATTTGTATAGATATATAATGTATATACTTATATTAATTTATACTTTATGTGAATAAGATAAAGGTAAAATTATATGTAGCAGCACAGCAATATATATTCAGTAGATCTGTGTTACACAGATTCCTTTACCAACATATCTTGAAATGAACACAAGGAACACAGCATACTTTAAAAATGAAGAAATGTAATACAGTTAGCAACAAGACAGGCAGGACCAGTGTGTCAGCAGCATGTGCAAGCAAGCAAACCAGCAGCAAAGGGGTGGCTCCCTGAGAGCTTCTGCTCTTACAGAGATGGAGAGAGAAAGAAATGCAATGGCTACGAAATATGTATTCATTCCATTTCTCACTGCTTCCCTGGTGAGCCTTATGCTCTCAGGATTGAACTCCAGGGAATAGATAGATAGACCATGGGATAGTTTCCAACAGTATCATCCAGAAACGAAGACACTTGGCCAAGGCTGCTTCATTGAGCGTTTTGCCATCAGTAGCGGCAGCAGGAACAGAACCATTAAAAATGTATTCTGGAAAACACAGATGACGGTGGACAAGCCAGGTGGAAAGTAATCAGTTCTGACAGGGACATCCACAGCTGCCTTCACAGTTACCAAAAAGTAGGAAACGGACTTCTGTCCTGGTAGTAACCTTGCTCAAAGTCAGGCAGCATGAGCTAGCCTCCAGACTACTAATCTTACTTTCTAATAAAGAAGTAGATGTGAAAAGTCCAGCTATTCTCAGACTGCAGGTGAAGAAACAATATTTTCCTGCCTTTTCTATAGCTTAGCAACAAAGAGACGTGCCTTCCGGTGCTTACAAACAGGCATTGGCTACTCCGGCTCTGAGGCACCGGCTGAACTGAGAGAAGTGGGGTCCTGAGGTCTTTGTGGGGCTTTTTGCTTGTGGAGAGAGGGTTATGTGCATGACCAGGGACTGATCCCCCATTCACACTGTAATTCTTTCTGTTCTTCCCCTCCATAGCACGGAGGATCACATTTTCAGAGCGCTGTGTAATTAGCAGCTCGTGATCGTCCTCATCAAAGTATTTGTTTTGCTTAGACATCACCCTCTGGTCTCTGTTGATTTAAGTTACTGAAAATATCATATGACAGAAAAGAGTTTATGCAGTGTTTATGTTTGGAGCCTGATCAACTGCAGTGATTTCAGAGGGCTTTTGTAGTATCCATTTCAGGGCAGAAATGAGCTCTTTCTATTTCTAAAACTCATTCCCATTAAGTTAACCAGAGTTCAGAGCTCTCAGCTTCCTGCAGGCAGTGCCCCTGCCATCCTGTATTTTTCAGTCTTGACCCCCAGTTCCACAATTTATCATTATCTGTGAACTGGAGGAGAATTGAACAAGTAGTTCTCAGAAATTCCACTTATGAATAAAACATTGAAAGTTATTCTCCTGCACTTAAAATAAAAACAGCAATTTTTGTCCTTTATCTGTGTAAAATTTTTCTATTAATGGCTGGCTTTGTATTTTCTGAAGACTATTTCAGTGCATCTATTATAAATATTTATGTGATAAGAAAAATGTTGGAACTCCTTCAAGGAAATCAGATGAGAATGCATCCACACACTTCAAAAATAAATGCATAAGGTAAGTGTTCAAACTATGCTATTATTAAATTGCTATATACAGTGAGCTTAGTGGTAGATTGTTGCGGTAAGAATGGTTTAATATATTGTTTCATGAATTTCATTTCAAAATTAGGTTCCATCAACACTACAGCAATTTTAAGTGAAAAAGCCTCACTAATCCAGGAGTAACCTCTCAGATTCTTACATAAAACTATCAGCAAGGCACCTTATAGATTACCTGGTTAATTTAAAAGGCTCTCTTTACACTTAGCAAAATATGATCTCCAGAAAGCCCATGATAATCTTGTAATTTAACTTGTTACCTCTAACGACTTTTTGCATAACACATTGCACACAGAAGTTATTGGAACTGCTTAAAGAAACAAAATACAAGACAATTTCCCCCCCAAAAAGCTGAAAAAAATCCTCCTCCCCCCCCTAAAACGGGTATGTGTGGACTGCTCATCTAAAAAATCTTCATTTCATGTAAATTTTTCCTGTGTGAGAGAAAAATGTGTTAGTGCAGAAAACTCACGAGATCAGTCCATAAATCATTCCTTTGAATGATTTTGTCTTCCCTTGACTCTGCATTCAACAATGCAACAAAGACAAATCTGCATTCAAAGAGCCAAAGCCTGCCTTCAGATGTGGGTGTGCATCCCACTTAAATGTCAGGTAGAGTCAGGTGCAGAGGAAGACATCAGAGGAAGGAATTTGGCACTATGGTAAGAGAGAAATGTTGGAGAGAGGAGGGCTGTGGGGGAAAAATTCTGTGGATATTTTTAAGGGGATTGTTTCAAAATCAAATTTCAAACTGGAAAATAGACTGAAAAAAAATCGTTCCATTACTTGCTGCTTAATTGTTACTTAATTTCCTTTTTCTTTTTTTTTTCAGTTCTGATTTTTTTTTTTTCATGATTTGCTTGCTCAAGATTGATTAAAGTGTTCCTTGAAATACAGTTAAAGAAAAGCTAAACCTGCACCTGTGAGGTTAATGGCAGTTTTATTTCAGAAAGCTGATGACCTCTCTCTGCTGCTCTATTTCCTACATTTCTCTGAGATATTTCCTCCTGCTGCCACCTTTGAGTCCCATGGATGTGTCAGTGTCCTGCCACTTACATCTGACCCCGCCTATCTGGGATACAAACAGATCCCAAATGGAACGGGTCCATTCCATTTAGTACAACCTTCAGCACTCAAATCGAGGAAAGTTTAACAGGTTTTTACCAGCTGATATTAACCATCAGAATGACCTAAATAAAAATGAATGTCAGGACAACTAGGATCTTGAATTTGTCTCAGAAAGAACATAAGAAGTTAAAGAGAGCTTGTTGGGATTGGTGTTATCTCTTCCCCTGATGACTTTAGCAAAGATGAGGCCACTGCAGCATCTCCATCCGAGCTACCACGCAAACTCTCTTACTATTTCAGAGAGTCTGTATGTTACTGAGATCTTAATCTTGACAGTCATGAAGCAGAGGTCACTGTGGTGGGATCCAGAGCAGAAAGAAAGAGGATCAACTGCACATTTTAAACAATTTAATCAGCCCTTTGTCATGGCTGCCTATATAATAGGCTCTGCACATTGTCTCTTCAGTGTTTATGGGTATACACAGACTTCATACACTGCAGTTATTTTACTTTCATAATGCCTCTCTTAGAGAGACAATTTTGTCCCTGCTAGCAGACGGGGAGAGCTGATGAATGAGTTGTTTCAAATTCTCTGAAATTGCATGGCAAAAGCAGAACTGGAATGGGGGCGCACGATACGTCAACACCACACCACAGCTCTGTTCGAGGAGACTGCAGTCAGCTTCCTCATGACAAAAAAGATAAGATGGAGTGATATTTTGCGTCTGACCCTTTAACCTGCAAAGAGTCACCGACTGGACCAGTGGACTGAACTGAACAAAGAAATGAAAATGGATGGGCATAAAGTTTCACAGTTTCTTGGGTTTTTCTGGAGCAAGGCAAGATATGAGTATCCGTTACACAGATGAAGACATTGTACGTACTCCCAGAAGCCAGGTCCATATTTTGTCTTTTGCGAAAACAATAGCAAACATATCACCACTAGAAGGTGGCCACATGTGATATGATAATTTTTGGAGCAGAGTGCCTTGCATCTGTCACTATTTTTTTTAATAGAATTCTACCATTGCATTTTTAAAAATTATGCCGTGCTGGCTTTTGGACGTTCAGCATGAACTGGTACCTTATTTCTTTTTTGATTGCTTTATTGCAATTGTGCCATCTCCCTCTTTCTGTCCATTTCAGATGCTGTCTCAACAAAACCCATTTGAATATCTGGGGAGAGTGGACTGTGACCCTGTGAGATATCTTTCTGGTGAGTCTTAGCAGGAGAATCAGCAGATAAGTGAACTGCCAGAGGGTGATTCACAGAAGCTAAGATGGGGTCCCACTTTAAAATAGGTGATGTGCAATAATACTCCAGCATTGCAAAACACTTGAAGGAAGCCTGATTAGGATTTGGGCTTTCTAGCTGCAGAAGAGAAGAAGTGAAAGTAAAAATAGCTTTATTGAAAGATATAGCTGAACCTTGGGAGGCAGAAAAGTGTTAGGAATAAGAATGAATAAGGATTCCTGGTTATCTTTCAACTTCAGCTTAAATTGTCCAAGGAAATTCTGTATCAACTACCTTAGGGTTGAAGCAAGAGAAAGCAGTGTTTCAGGTTCATGGACATTTAGTTTCTATGATCTTATAAGACCACATATTCTTAGGTATACACCACCAGAAGGAACCTCTTCGGTTATTGGAAAGTGTCTTTCCCAGCACAACCCAGAATGGGATCCAGTGCTGGAGTTAAATTATGCTATATCATCTCATTCACAAACAGACTAAGAGCAATCAAGTTTTTTGATCCCCGTTCTTCTAATCTTTATTTCGGTCTGACTTTCTGTATAATACAAACTAAAGAATAACTATAAATAAAATCTCCATCAAGTTATGTTACAGTTTGGCCTTTCTTCTAGGACTTAGAGATATCCAGAATGATGGAGTGCTCACTCCTTTCCTAAGTGAACATTTCCAAAGGTTAATTACCACCACCAACAAAAAAAAGTGTGCCTGATGTCTTCTCTCATTTCATCTCACTTTAGCTTCCAGCCTTAGGATTTTATTTTGCCATTTTTTAGTGCTGGAGATGTGTAGTATCAGAAACCTCTTCTGCTGAGAGGCTAACTACATATGCATAGTGCTCACATTACCTCTTAACCATCTCATCCAGTAAATAATGAATTGAATTGCTTGAATTACCTCAAAAGATATTGTTTTCAGATTTGTATTTTACCTTTTACCTTTTATAGTGCTTTGCAAAGGATTTATGCACTTCTCTTTTCTCAGGGCTCTGCTTAAAGGCAAATTGTAGATTTATTTTAATACAGCTATTTGGAGGTGAAATAATTCCCTTTTTCTTTCTGCAGAAATTATGACACTTGCAGAAATGTACCTATTCCACAGAATCTTTTTCATTCCCATTGTCTCGGTTTGCCAAAACGTGTAAACAGAATGCCCTACGTAAGATGACAGCTAAGCGACCACAAGAAGTTGATTTGTTGCAAATGTAAAGTGCTGGAGACGTGCTCCATGTCACAAAACATCTTATCTAGAATACTGTGTGGAAGAATCAAAGAAAAGAAAACAATAACATTACATAAAACAAAGGTAAAGTTTGACCTTCAGACCCATCAAAAAGAAGCTCACCATATTGCTATACAAGAAAATCTGTCATAAGGAATCTAAGTCTACCTATCATGTGCTTGTTTGGAAATATGATTCTTTGGAAAACAAAGCATAAATTCCCTGGGTTACTTTTTGTTTCCAGTCGTGAAAATGAAAATATTCTTTCTCAATGTTTAACAGAGCCTAATGTAAGTGACGTTTGCTGTATTTTGTCATTTCCTCCAAGCTTTATTTGGCAGCGTAGTATTTGAGCTGGCAGATTGCTTCTGCAAAGAGAGGTAGCTCTCCTGACGAATGACAGTCTCACAGCCTTAGTCTGGACTACCAGCACAAGAGCTCTCTCCAGTGGCAACTTTGCTACTTCTTTTGATGTGCACCTCAGATACTACTCAAGAAGCTTTAGGGTTTTTTGGTAAATACAGAAAATATCGTCTATGTTTGTTATAGGTGCTTATGGTGAGATGCTTGAAGTCAAATTCGCTTCACCTGATTTCAAGTGTGCGTAGTGACACTAGTGTAGTCAATGGAACGAATTAGTACTCTTGCGGAAGAGTTCATCTAACCTAGTTTACTTATTCACTGCAGGATAAGTGCTGAGATCTCTCCACTAACTTTAGATTTTTAAACGTGGCCAGGCACCATGACTAGTTACTAGAAATTTCTACCCACATAGCTGTGGGTCATACGTTCCACACGAGTTACCATTTACCTTTTTGTTAGCCTAGAAAGACCAGCCCTGGCAAACTGCCCCATTCTCCTTGAGTGATCCATCACTATAGACATCTCACTTTCTCCTTGCAAGCTGTCTGGTTTGATGAGTCTAGGTCAGAGTCTCACTGAAGTGACTCTTACCGCTGTTTCTTGCCTGAAGCCATGTCTATACGGACACTTTGCAATTGTCGGATTGCCTGCTATCTTTCTTGTCATCCTTGTCTACGCAGGGTGACAGACCCATTAGGGTCTTTTTGGCCTGACTGGGTTACCAAGGACATTTTTCTCAGACTAGAGCTGTGGAAGACAAAATTCTGTTCTTCGCAACTGTTGAAAGTACACAGGTTGGCCAAAACTAGGCAGACATAGAAACTGTACGTTCCTGGTTTCCCCGAGGATAGCCTTTAGGGTTCACAGCTCTTTTTCATCATGCCAAATCTTACCATAGAGTATAATTCTAATATCTGTGCTAGGGGCCTTGGAAGTTTTGGCTTGTTAGGAGCAGAAGAACGGGAATTATATTTGGTTTCTTTGCAGTAACAGAAATTGTTTCCTCCTCCATAAGGGCATTTTTGTTCCCCCTTACTCACCTGAATGAGATGAAAAGCACGTGCAAGACAGGCAAGGCATTTCACTTCATGCCTTTTCTCTGGATGTTAAAATGGCTAGGGAAAAACAAATCCTATAAATAAAACTATTTTTCAGCCAGAGAAGACTGATTGATAAAGGTCACTAAATGCTTCCCTGCTGGAGTGTGAAATCAATGAAAAGTTTAATCTAGTATGATTTGGCAATTTGTCAGGTTTAGAAGAGATGATGTGAGCTGAGGATGTAGAACACAGCAACGAGACGAGAAGAGATGAAATAAACCATGGACTCAGAAACCAGGAGAAAGCACTCCTGGGACTGAAATAAAGAAGGGAGAGGCTGAGCTACTTGTGTTATAGTTCTACCGAAAAATAGCTACTTACATTTTCCTCCATCAGCATACTTCCTTTTGATGTCTTTTGCTAACAGGGGCCTGCCAGAGCAGTTAAGCACCATGCAGTAAAATGGTGGAGAAATAGGTATTTTGGTGCTTGGCTGGTCTCTTCTGACTGGTGAGTAGGCTGGAATTTATGAGCCACAGGGTGTTACCGAGAGCTGCGCAGACTCGAAGATTGTGAGGAGCTCAGACAGATAGGTTTTGAAAATAAGGAAAATCTTTTGTCCTCCAGCAGGACCTAGTCTAGCTGACCTATGAAATCACAGGTTATAAATGAAGTAAAATGATTTCTTTGTTATTTTTGACTCTTCCAAGGATGATATATATCAGAATACTGCTATCCGGATAGTAGCTGGGTAATATGGACCAGAACTGGGCATTGTCTTTGAGGCACGTATCCACCGGTAAATTTGGTGGAAATTGTGAAATCAGCAGGTTCAAAAGGTGTTAAACAACCAGACCAGCCCACACAGGTGCATACACAGAGCAGGACTGCAAAAATCCTGTTTGCTCTTTCTTCATGTTAAAGCTTAGGCAGACGGCAAACAACGGGGTTGCCCTTGAAAACCACTAGTTTGATGGAAGCTTATGACAAAGTTTAATGGAAAAATATACTAAATTATGAAAAAGAAGACTCAGAACTGTAACACTAAGGAAGATTTTACTTAGAGACAAAATTAGTCTTCTCTATTAATTTTTAAGCTCTTTGAGGATCATTTTTAGCCTATTAGTTTCTAAGAAATTAGTCTGTGAAATTCTCAGTCTCTGTATGCGTACATGTTTGTCTATTATCCCCAAATAACTTTTGCACTAGTTAGCCAACTCCAAACAAAACTGACAGAGACACAGAGATCCCAAAGAAGATTAATTTCTTATGACTTTATGGGCATGGGCCACCAGGTTGAAGGCAAACACCGTGTAAGTGTTGTATTGGAGGGAGGTGTTGCATCACTATTATGCCCCAGAGCATTTGCATGGAGGAGGGACGAGACCTTATGAATGCACCAGCCATTAAAAAAGCTTCAAATGGACCTTGAAATAAATCATGCAAGATACCTTTTATAAGGGCTTGTAAGTTCCAGCACACACAGGACTATTTATCTTGTTTTTTGTTTGTATAGAGCACAGGGTAGCCAAGTCCTGGTCAAGGATGGGGTGTTAAATAACCCTAAAGTATTGGATATGAGGACAGAAACTGATCCCAAGACCAAAATGAGTCAAGTCTGGGGTAAATATACTGTTTTCTCTTTACCTAACTATGCCTATTTATTGCACTGTATATTTTAATTACATGTTCATACTCTGCTTAACTCCTTTTTAAATAGTATTACATTTTGTTTACTGTGACTGGAAGGCTCACATCTTATAGGTGATTCATTTACACTTAATATTTTTTATTAATGGTCTAACTTCAACACGATACAGCTAAGCAGGGACCTTGATGAGTTTAGTTTTACATTAAGAAACCTTACATGGAAGCAGGATGAGAACTGATAGTCCGAGGCCTTCTGTGGATCTGCTAATGCATTCTCTACAAAGCTAGCAGAAGGCTTCCCATTATCCTTCACTGGCCTTTGGATCAGGCCCTTGAGGATGGTATACATAACATAAGTCCCAAAGATGGTCAAAATAATAGGTTTTGCCTGTTGTTTTTTTTTTAGAAATTTAGCTAAGATGTAGCTTTTGCCAGCTCCTAAACTAAATGACCAGATAATATAAACTGTTTACATAATTTTTTACTATAAATTGAAAATGTCACAGTAGAGCTGTCCACCCACTTTCTGCCTCATTAATGTAAGAAAAAAAAAAAAACCAACACATGCCTTATGACAGCTCATGCATTTTCAATAGCCGCTCTTAAAAAGACAGTTCAACATGCCAGCTCTCTTCGCGTTGCTTCCATATGCATTTCCTATTGTAAGAACAGGAAAACTTTGGTAAACTTGGATATAATACTGTGTGACAGCAATTAACAAATTATGACTTTAAGTAGTATTGCTAACAGTTACTGTTATAGAGTATGTTTACCGAAAGATTTCTAAATTTCTTTTCAGTATCATGTAAGCGGGTATGCTAATTAAGCATAGAGAGATAATTAACGTTTAAGTGTTAGTGTTTGAATATGAAAGAGATGTGAATCTCCTTTTTCACAGAATTCCAGATTTAATTTGTTTATTTAAACTTTTTTGTGGAATTACAGCAAGGCAAATGGCCTTCCACTGGTCTAAGAATGGAGTGACAGTCAACATTTCAGCCCATAACTGAGGGAAACAGTTGAATAAGGAAGCGCTGATTGACAATAAAAATCTGCAAATTCTATTATTTGGGTCATTCCAAGATCTTCACACAAATCCTTCTATATATCTGCTAAGTTAATTCACAGTGCCAGATAAAAGTCATTGTATTTCCCACAAAATGCTTTGTTTTTTATTTTGTCCTGTTTTGTAAAGTATTTGTCCCAAGTATTTGTCTTTATTGGAAATTAGGATACTAGAAAAAATAGTAGCGATATTCTCAGTACTGAGCTATGCAAATCTTACTTGTGTGCAACACTTTTAAAATGCTAAATGCTACACCAGCAGGAACAAAACCTGATTGTGAACTGGGCTTGCATTCAAGAAGACATGATTGCATTTTATATTATCAAAAATGATTTTTCTTTTGGAACTATTGAAAATAATTAGTCTATTTGACTCGGATCATAATTTTACTGAAAAGTAAAGTTAAAGAACATAAGTTACTTAGTATGTAAGAATGGAAACAATGAATAGATAAAGGCTTGATGCTTTTTTTTGTTAGAGAACTTTAATGAAACTCTAATCCGCTTACACTGACAGATACAATAGTTTTCCCTTTCTTATTCTCCAGTCATCTGAAGAGAGATGCTCTATATGGTACCTACTTACTGGATAAGAAAATATCAAAAGTAAGAATCAATCCCTAAAATGATGGGCATTTATTTGACTGCTTTACTCTGTAATTATTGTGCTCCATGAATAAAACAAAGCTTCATTACAGAACTGTTAAAATATGTTCATTTAAATGGCAACAGAACAGAACAACAAATCATTAAGTTCAAAATTAATCTTTTAATGCTATTTAACAACAATAGCTGATGAACCAGAGGCACTCCCAAAGTATGCAACATGA